CCATGCACCTCTGAACCCACCAGCCCAGAAGTCACGCTGGTTTTATAAAAGCCTTAGTGTAAATTGAGCTTCTACAGTCCGCTATGTCCCTTTGTTAGCCTTTTCTTTAAATAAACCTATCGCAGCCTTGCCATTTCTGTAAGGCTCATGTATGCATGTGACAGGGAGGACAGGCAGGGGGAAGGGGGTTCACTTGAAATTTCTAATCTTTTGACAGAAAGAAACTGCATAACCTTAATTTTCACAAATCCTTAAATGTGCCAAATGCCCTAGCTCGGGTTATTGACTTTTCCTCATTCCTTTAATGCATCCTAAAAGTTTGATGGAAGTTAATGCCTGATGTGTATGCACAGCAATGCTGTCAGCAAGAGGCATGCAGAAGAGCAAGCCAGTCCTAAATGAGTGAGAGTGGGTGCTGGCAGCCCAGCTGCTGATTATACAGGCATATTACTGAGCTGCTTTACTCTCAGATTTTGACCAGAATTATTCTGAAGGGGATGCTCTATTTTTTGTAGTTCCTGTGAAGTTCTGAATAACTTCCAAACTCAGAGTTTTCCAATTAATTTACTAGGTTCAAAAAGCAAACAAACAAAAAAACCAACCAGATTTAGAGAGCACAATACATTTCATCTGTATTTGGACAGGAATTTGATTTAAAAAATAGCAGAGAGGAAGTATTGCTTACTACAGATTTCACAATAGCAAATCTGTATAATTTCTTCAAAACAAATTAGAGCTGCAGAGTCTAAGTACATTTGTCAAAAGAAAGGTGGAATGATGTAGTAGGCTGCTCACAATGAAGTCTGGGACTTAAAACTTTTTATTCAAGCCAAAAGGAACAAGCATCTCTGCAATAACTAACAATTAAGGGAGAAAAATATTCATATATCTGAATAATACTGTTATATTGAAAGTTGAGGTGCTGAAATGACAGTAGAGGGTTCATCATTTCTCATTTGAGAAAATATTATTGCCATTCTTTGCTAACATCAATTACATGCTCATCTGGTGGAAGCAATTATTGACAGTTTTTGTCAAAAACGGAGAAAGTTTAAGGGAAAAAAATTCTAAACCCTTCAGAGCCAATGCCTGGGGGGAAACCCTGCATCTGCAATGCAAACTCAAATCAGACTGTTAAAACCCTGCTCCTCTCTCAGAACATGGGCCTGGTCTGCCCAATGCTGTATGCTTGGAAAAACTGCTGCCAAGTCCTCAAAATGAATCCTAAATTGTATTGGGAGGCACAGCACCCCCAAGTCAGCTTGTGAAATGTGGAACATAACTACCATAGGACCACCTTTGTACAGCGGTAAAATGTCCTTCAGTTATTTATATACTGAGCAGTTAGAACAGCCAGCATGGGAGCTATCAATTAACCAGAGATGAGTTGCAGATATTGATTTGACAAGTTATTAGCTTTGCAGCACTGAGTGAAGTGCGTTTCGGGTGCTGACATTGACAGACGTACTGAAGCTGGCCTCTTAAAACCCTCCCTCGTCTCTAAACAAAACCTTGAACAACTCTGCCTTCCAGCCCCTTGGGACTAGAGCTTGCACCTGCACCAAATTATCAAAACATGCTGACCTGTACAATGTCATTAAAAACTGCTTCTCAAGTTGACATTCAGAACTTTGATTACTCTTAGTTGCGATTTGTTCAGTTTCTTGGAAGCTGACTTGTGTATATCTTGGGTAAAATCCGTCATATTTTGTGGGATCTTTCATTCAAAAACTAATATACATTTGAAAGAAATGCCCTATAGGCAGTATTAACTAAAATATCCCACGTGCATTTGCAATATAATTTATCAAACTGACTTTTTACCATACTTTGAGCACTAGCTTACTTTAGGGTGCTATGCAAGTGTTCAACCTGCAAAAAAAAAACTGTTCACACTGAGCAATTCTTTAATTGCCTTTTTTAACCAGGATATTGTCATCTGGAAAGGGGAATGAGAAGTATGACAACAGTAGCAGAACACCCAATCGCATCTAACAGTGCGCTGTCAAAGGAAAAGATGCAAAACCTGTGGGAGATGATAGGTCTCTGATCTGTATTAACGGGCTTGCTATCCATAAAACTGACAAACAAATTCAGAATAGTACTTGTCATCATTTATGCCATTTGTCATTATTTTGCATTTCCTGCACATGCAAAAAGAGGTTAGACCTCCACCCAAGTCTGGGAGCCCATTTGGGAAGTTTCAGGCACACCAGTTTCTATGATGCAAGTGACATTGCTGCTTGCTGGGTGACAGTTGTCAGTCTTCAGAGCACACCCAGCTTTGCTAGGTCTTGAGCCACCAGAGCTCTTGAACTCAAAGTGTGCTGGATCAGGTAGGGTTTGGGAGGGTCCTAACACTGTTCCTCACCATCCCAAAAAGATGCCTCCAGCCTCTTCTTGAAAGCCTTCTGTGAAAGAAAAAAAAAAAAAAAGTCTACGCCGTCCCTGAGCAGCCTCTTCCAGTGCCCCCCCGTTCTAGCAGAGAGGGGCAATGACTTGATCCAATTTCCAGGACTGGACCAGGCCCTTTCTCTGCCACTTAGGTCTTTAAGGAGAAAGACCTGGGGAAGGAGTTAGAGTCAACAGTGCAGGAAAAAAAAAAAAATTCTTAAAGGAAAAAAAACAGTAGTAAAGCGAATGGGGAAGTGCTAATTATCCCTCCATCATACCACCTTTCACTTCTCTTTTGGCAACCCAGATACTACAGTAGTCACAGCTTGACATCTGGCTACTTGGTGAGCTTTACACAGGAAGATATGGAGTTGCCTCTGGTCATCACATACAGCAAGGATGATAATTGACCATCTAGGTTTTTCTGTCATCTTATATACTTTATTTTCACTCACCTTTGATTCTGATCTGTTTGCACACTCTGCTCTGAACACATCCAGTGCAAGCATATGACAGTCTCCCACAACCACCCTCTCCTTGTGTGAAGCCATATCCATTGCCAGGATCCCAAATGTACTAACATTTTTATTCATTCATTTTTGCAGATTATTTTCTGTCTCCTTAGTGTTTAGCAGCTGGTCTTTGATCTCATGAACAGCTAAATATAGATTCACTCCCTCTATCTTAGCATAGGCTGGCCACACCTTTACCTAAATTACCATTTTGTATCTATCTTGATGTAACCTGTTTTTTTATTCAAATCCTTTTTAAAAATAAACCTATTAAAATTTAATGTGACATTAGCATCTCATGGTACAGGGAGGACTTTTGTCATGTCAGTTCATTCAGTTTTGTTAAGATAATTAACTCCTTCAGATCTGAGAAATTGCTGGAAGCTGGAAAACCAAGAGAGCTTGTTTTTCTCTTCTGAAAAAGGGTGACTAGTTGTGATGTAGTAATGCAAAATCTTCAGCATATTAATTAACTCTGTCTCTGATCCTCACTATTGTGGTTGTAATGGAGCTACAGCCTGAGTAAGTAAAGTACCTCTGAACTCCAGGAGCTTCTACTATGATGAATGAAGGAGGTATTTTCCCCCATCACACAATCCCACACAGAAAGGTATCACCCATCCCTGCTTGTAGGTTTTTTGGACAGTTTGACCCTCGTGTGTAAAAAGACAAAACCAAACCTGAAGCACATACTTGTCATGAAAGAAAAGCTGCAAAAATTTGATCCAACTGCTGATGCTGTCTTTTCTACTCCATCTTTCAGTGCAATCTTCTGGGTTTGAACTACCTGATTAACTACCCACCAACTTTGCCACCACCAGTTTTCTAAGCTTTTATTTTGTTCCTTGGAACGTGACAGTTCCTGCCACCTTGGGTCAGAACAGCAGAAAAACATCTCTGTGCAATATTTAAGCATATACTTGTTGTATCCTCTATATCACTAAAAAAATAAAAATAAATGGATGAATAGGAACATCATACATGTTACTGACATCAATTCACACACATCAAGCATAGACACAAATACATCAAAATGCTCAATGCCCTCTGGCCAAATCCTGGCCAGTGGGCAATGCATAATCACCATTTTTATCAAAGGAAAATACCTTGTTGCTAAAGCACTTGCCATGCTGTGAGCAAGAAAAATAGGGAAAGGGATGGGAGGGTAGAAAGAGATATTCAATACATAAGGCAGAAAACCAAATAAAATTAAAGGGTCAGAGAGTAAAAGAGAAGTGTTGCACAAAGCTGCAATAGGAACTATGTAGGTGAACTGCCCTGCCTAAAGTGAGGTCCTGCTCCAAGCTCCTAATAGGAACTGTAACTTGAAATCTGCCTGGATTTGTCATGCAAGACTTCCCCAAAGGACCATAAAACAGAACTTTCTCAAATGGAAAATACTCAGTCACCAGAGAAATCCTTACCTTTAAAAGATCGATTTCTTTAATGCAATCCTGTCTGGCCTTGGCATCCATCATTTCAAAAATCTTCAAAGACAGAATGAGTAGTAGATTAGAAACAAGCAAGACATGCTAGAGATGCTAAACTTATCGTATCTTAAAAAGGAACCAGCTTTTTCACTCCCCTTTGATTTAAATGATACAAATTGCAGTTAAAATTGCATGAGGTTGACTTTAAGCCACTACTATAAAACAGCAAAATTAACATCAGCACCTACTGGTGATATGCTAAGCAGTGAGAAAAATGAGGTTTTAGTTTGGGGACTTGTTGCCAATTTGGTCATTGTTAAAAGAACGAGTTACTTAATTTAACACTGTTTTCACATTGTGTATGAAATATTAAATCATATCTTTTTTTCTCCTTAAACAATCCAGAACTGTGCTTCCTTTCACAGATTCCCCTGCATTAATTAACACGAGTAATGAGCATTAATATTCATTCATAATCACAGTTCAAGTCATTGGTACCAAGCATTTAAAAGATCTGTTCAAGAATTAGAGGCACATTTCTTTTAGCAAAATGCTGTTCAAAAAACTGCATGGTACTTTAATCCTAGATCATTAGATGCAGGGGTAGCAGTGGACATAGTCTTCCTGGACTTCCGGAAGGCTTTTGACACTGTCTCTCACCCCGTTCTCATTAAGAAACTGGGGGGCTGTGGTGTAGACACCCACACAGTCAAATGGGTCACCA